ATTGGTGGGCTGCATGGAGGATGGGTTGACTTGGGCAGCAGGGATGATGGGAGATCAGCTGACTGCCGCCCTAGGACAGGAGCTGTGAATGGGATAGCAGCAAGAGAGATGGATGACTGTAGACACCTGATGTCTATCTCAGGAGCCATTAGCCATATGCAGCGTGGAGCACTTGAAATATTAAAGTGTAAACTCTGTATCAGGCTGAAGGCTTGATTCAGCAACACTAGACAGCGAGAAATAGCCCAGGAATGGCTGGTTTATATTTACTTTTCTTTTTTGTTTTTGTTTTATTTTGTTTGTTTGGTTGGTTGGTTTTTGGTTTTTCAAGACAGGGTTTCTCTGTGTAGCTTTGGAGCCTATCCTGGCACTCGCTCTGGAGACCAGGCTGGCCTCAAACTCACAGAGATCCGCCTGCCTCTGCCTCCCGAGTGCTGGGATTAAAGGTGCGCCACCAATGCCCCAGGCCTTTTTTTTTTTTTTTTTTTTTTTTTTTTTTTTTTAAGACAGGGTCTCTCTACCTATCTCTGGAAGTCACTCCATAGACCAGGCTGGCATCAGACTTAAAGAGATCCACTAGCCTCTTGCCTTTGCCACCAGAGTGCTGGAATTAAAGGCATGTGACTTTGTAGCTGAGGGTGGCCTGAGATTCTGACCCCCCTGCCTCCCTTCCTGAGTGCTGTGATTTTAGGCTTGTGTCACCATACTCAATTAAGAATGAGCTGCTGGGTCTCAAACCCAAGGCTGCAAGCCTGTGCTAGGCAAGGATCTGACACTTGAGCCACATCCTCAGCCAGAAAGTTTCCTTCTGTTGTATCTATTTGTTTTGTGTGTTTGTTTGAATGGGGGTCCTACAATGTATCTAAAGTCCACTGGAAATCATGACTCCTTCCCCAGTCTCCTGTGTGCTGGGATTACAGCTGTGTGCCTATGCCTGGTTTGTATTATGGTTTTTGTATTTTATTCCCCCTAGATATAGGGTTTCTCTGTGTAGCCCTGGCTGTCCTGCAACTCAATCTGTAGACCAGGCTGGCCTTGAACTTTAATCCCGAGTGCTGGGATTAAAGGTGTATGCCACCACTGTTTTTTTTTTTAATATTTACTTATTATGTATACAACATTCTGCTTCCACTAGAAGAGGGCACCAGATTTCATAACAGATGGTTGTGAGCCACCATGTGGTTGCTGGGAACTGAACTCAGGACCTATGGAAGAGCAGTCAGTGCTCTTAACCTCTGAGCCATCTCTCTAGCCCCGTGGTAGTTTAATGTTTTCTTTTATTTATTTTTATTTTTATTTTATTTTATTTTTTAGTTTTTTTGAGACAGGGTTTCTCTGTGGCTTTGGAAGCAGTCCTGGAACTAGCTGTTGTAGACCAGGCTGGTCTCGAACTCACAGAGATTCCTCTGCCTCCCTAGTGCTGGGATTAAAGGTGTTCACCACCAATGCCCGGCTGCCACCACTGTTTTTTATTAGACAAGAGTTACTAGATTAGAGAAAATGCTTTCAAAATGAATATATACTGAACATTTTAGAAATTTCTAGCTAGGTATAGTTTTTTTCTAATTGATGGAAGAAGTTTACTTGATATAACAAAACAACAGTGTTGTACTCAACCACAAAAAGAAAACATAAAAAAATGAGTATGTGCAAAAACAAAGATGCCTAAATATTTTATTTATTTACTTACTTGTGTGTCTATGTATACAGATGTATCTCACTTGTGTGGATTTCAGGATTTCAGTTTTTTCACCCTGCACATCCTGGGGATTGAATTTAGGTTGTCAGGTTTAGTATCCATTTTGCCAGTCTAACCCCCCCAAAAGAAAACAAAAAACAACCTCAAAATGCTTAATGTGACAAATATACATATTCCTAAAATAATACTCTGAAATTCCTTAGTTCTTTTTTGGAAACTTGTTTTGATTTATTTATTTTGTGTGTGGGTGTTTTGTTTGTGTGTATATCTGTGTACCAAGTCTGTGCAGTGCCCAAAAGGACTATCATCTCCTCTGGAACTGGAGTTACAGATATGGTTGGGAGTCACCCCGTGGGTTCAGGGAGCCAAACCATGATTCTCTGGAAGAGCAGTCAAGGAATATTATTTTAATTGGGCAAAGATATGTTACAATTGCTTATGCTGCCTTTGTTAATGATGTAAAGATACATTACATTTGTTTATGCTGCCTTTGTGTAACTATGTAAAGATGTATTGCTGTTTTACTTTGATTGGTCTACTAAAAAACTGAACGGCCAATAGCTAGGAAGCAGAGGGTTAGGCAGGGCTGATGGGCAGAGGGAATAAATAGAAGAGAATGAGAGAGAAGAAAAGAGAATGAGGGGGAAAGAGAGGGACACATCTGGGGCCAGAAGCCAGGCAGCCTGCCAGCCAGTCAGACACTGGAGGAAGCAGGAAAGTAAGAAATACAGAAAGAAACGTAAAAAGTCCAGAGGCAAAAAGTAGATGAAGAGAAACAGGTTAATTTAAGTTAAAGAAATAAAAGCTAGCCAGAAATGAACATAGTCTAAGGCCAAGCATTCATAATTAATAAGAAGTCTCCATGTCCTGATTTGGGAGCTGGTTGGTGACCCAAAAGAAAAAGTCTGGTACAGGGCTCCTAACCACAGCCATCTCCCAGGTTCTTGAGAACTATATAAAACAGAAGGTGGCTAGCAGCAGCAGCAGAGCTCCTAAAACTAAATCCATTGTTTTGAGAAATGAGTGGGCAACTGGAAGTGATGTCTCATACCTTTAATCCCAGCATGCAGGGAGCAGAGACAGGTGGATCTCTGTGAGTTCGAGGCCAGCCTGGTCTACAGAGTGAGTTCCCGGACAGCCAGTGTTACATTGTGAGATCCTATTTCAAAGATGGGTGGGGGAGGGAGAGGAACATATGAGGCGCCTTCTACTGACAATGCATGATTTCTTTCCCTGTTTGCAGTCTGCTAGAAATACCAAGCCAGTGGCCAGGATATTTCAGTTTTAAAATTTTGTTTATTTTTCTTCTTCTTTTTCTTTTTGAGGGCATTTCAGTTTAATATCAGTTACCCAGCATTAGCATAAACTCTGACAACTTTGGGTCAGGTTCTGTTTTCTTTGGAGCTGGCAAAGTGACCACAGGACAGCAGGTCATTATTCTGAATGGAGAGCTTTGTACCAAGAAAAACCATATCACTTTTAGCTATAACACGTTATGTATCTAATGATTTCTTCATGTAATACTGATGAGTCTCAGAGAACTTCAGCAGCATGTTGGAATCTCCTCCTCCTCTGGAAAAAGTTGAGACAGGGTCATGAGATTCAGGGTTGCACTGAACTTCCTCTTGTAGGGAAGAGGCAAAAGCATCTTGTCCTAAGAGCTGTCATTTTGACTCCAGACTCCATTTTACCTGCACAGTGAAACAAAGTTCAGGTTCCCAAGCCCTAGGGGAGCTGAGAGCCTTGTGATAGCTGAGCCACCTCTGCCCTAAACCACAGAAATAGTAGTTATGTATCTTTAGTTCTTTAGAAACATTGTAGCTGTTCCTGACCACAGAAGGAACAAATCAATCTGATTGGCTTTGGAGGTTGTCCTAGAACTAGCTCTTGTAGACCAGGCTCGTCTGGAACTCACAGAGATCCACCTGTTGTTGTTTTCAAGAGAAGGTTTCTCTGTGTAGCACTGGATGTCCTGGAACTCACTGTGTAGACCAGACTGGCCTTGAACTCACAGAGATCCATCTGTCTCTGCTTCTAGAGTGCTGGGATTAAGGGTGTGTGCCACCACTGCCCAGCCTTTTTTTTTTTTTTTTTTTTTGAGACAGAATCCATCTACACAACCCTGGCTGGCCTGAAACTCTCTATGTAGATCAGGCTGGCCTCGAACTCACAGAGATCTGCCTGCCTCTATTTCCAGAGTGCTGGGATTAAGGTCATGTACTATTTATTATATCCAGGCTAGATTTGATATCTTAAAGGTTGTTCCCCCAAGTCTGGCATTTTAGAGGTCACGTCTTTAACACAGGGGCCTATGGACAGTAGGCATCTAAGCTTTGACTTGGAGCATAATGAGAACACACAGGGTAAGTATAGAGATGGATTTAGATTCTCCCCAGTATGTATGTGTGAACTTGGACTTGGTTTCCCATCTCTGGATCTCAGTTTCCTCAGTTTTATGAAAGAGATGGCTGATAGTGAGTGGTCACAGCTACTATGTGTTCATGCTTCTCCCCAGTGCTTTGCCACACCCACAAGACTGGGTATGCTGGTTCCTTTTCCAAGAAGAGAAGAAGTTAAATGACTTACCAACTTACCTAAAGGAAGAGAGAGAGAGAGAGAGAGAGAGAGAGAGAGAGAGAGAGATAGGTGTGGTCTTTCTGGCTCCAAAGCCAGGGGGAAAATCTTTTTACTCTCTTCATCATGCTCCTTGCTTACCTACCTAATCCATTAATGAAACATGCAAATGTAAGAGACGATTGTGGCTGGTGAGATATGTGGGTAAAGGCTGCCAAGCCTGACAACCTTTGACAACCTGAGTTCAATCCTCAGGACCTATACAGTGGAAGGCGAGGACTGACTCCTTCAAGTTGGCCCCTGACTGCCATCCTTGCGCAGAGCCTTGTGAACACCCATCTACACACACACCCATACACACAAAATAACCAGATGTCAGGAAAGGAATGGGTGCTACCCAGTGGAACAGAAAATAAGCCAAGGCTTTACAGAAATACTCAGAAATGTTACAGAATGTGCTAGATAGACCTGTTTACATGAAATGGATATTCTCAAAACCATACTCAGGAGGGCACATTACAGAGTGATCGTTTCCTGTCTCAGGATGAAAAGTCACCAGGAATTTGGAGGGAAATAGTTTAACAGTCATTATTACAAACTCAGAGTCAGATACGCTTAGTATCACGTGGCAAACCCTGTTAGTGAAAGCCTACACGGTATTGTGACTGACAGGGCCTCTTTCAAGTAGGGTCCGGAGCGTTCAGTCAGGGTAGAGGAGCCTGGCATCATGGAGAAGCTGTTTGTGTTGGTCCTTGCTCTCACTCTGCTGGTCTTCTCCTCAGGTAGGTTCTCTCCCCCAAGGACATGGCTTACTTTTGAACTGACGTGGTCATACGTAGTGTATATTGATATTTCCATATACTTTCTTTTTGTAAGAGCAAGCTTCTAGAATTTCTGTTATTTAAAAGGGAGTTAAATTACTTTCTTTGAAAAGTCTTAGGATGTGTTAGAGTACTATTTTCAAAAAATGCTGACGAGCCTTCAATGACATCTTCTTTTAAAGTTCATATCCGATTACAGAAGCTTTATACACTTTAATTATGCTAATATCTTTTAATGTTTCAATGAGCCTCCCCCACCATTAACAATTTTGTGATCATAACTTCGGAGTGGAAAGTGTGAAGACTGAATTTAACACAGACAATAGGATGGAAAAAATATATTTTTTGAAACCATATTCAGGACTGGAGAGAGCGCAGTTGGCAGAGTGCTTGCTTAGTTTTTTGTGAAGAAGCCCTGCGTTTAGTTCCAGGACCATGTTAGCTGGACATGGTGGCAAACAACTGTAATTCCAGCACTTAGAGGATCAGAAGTTCAAGGTCATCCCAACTAGACGTTGAGTTTAAGGCCAGCCAGCCAAAAGACCTTGCCTTAAAACAAAAACAAACAAACAAAACCCTCCATACATTACATAAAGGTCCACTTAAATGAATGGCCATTGCAGGAAATAAGTAGATTCAAATCCTGAAGCTTTTGCTCTGAGTTAACCATAGTATAAACAATTTAAAATCCCCAAGTCCTCAGAGATGCCGCACCTTTGGGACAGATTCCTCAGTGTTTTAACCAAGACTGAACTTGCAAATCCTCTTGGAGCGCTGAGACGGAGTGTGGAATCCTGGGCCTGGGGATCTCTCAAGTCTCTTCCTGATTCTTTCCAGAAGCCTCCCCAATTCTGACAGAAAAGCAAGCCAAACAGCTCCTGAGGTCCCGGCGACAGGACAGACCCAGCAAACCCGGATTCCCGGACGAGCCCATTCGGGTGAGCGCTTGGCGGGGCAATTTTATAGCACACACTGATTTCTGAATGGGCATCCATTCTGGTCACTGGGTGGGTTGTGAGACGGGGGATCTATTACAGACACAAGAGTAAGACGTGTGATCGTCACTCCTGGAGACGCTGGCTCCACTCACCTAAACAGAAATAGCCGGGTCTACGGATGTGCTGTGTGTATTCCGGCATCTCCCTGCTCTGCTCTGCTTGCTCAGCAGCTGCTCCTTTTGCCTGATGCCAACCCCCTGTCTGCCTCTTGGACCCCAGGCACTAGCATCCTTGGATAGAATCTTGGTAACAGCTGCCTCTGATTATGGCCTTTGTCCTCAGCTCTGCCCTGTGGGTTATGGTTTCCACTTGCCTAGTCTTTGTGAACCAGGGCACCTGTGATAGCTAATACTGATTGTTAGCACAACAGGGTCTAGACTCAGTTCTAGGACAAGCCTCTGGATATGTCTCAGAGTTTCAAGATGGAAGATCCAACCTAAATGTAGACAGCACCATTCTATGGATTGGGTCCTTGGTTGCATTTAAAAAGAAAAAGCAAGCTGGGGATTAGCTTTCTTTTTTTTTTTTTTTAAATAACATTTTAAAAATATTTTTTGAAATCATAATATAATTACACATTCCTCTTTTCCTTTTCCACTCACCAACTCCTCTCAAGTTCATCACCTCCTTTTCTTTAATTGTTGTTACACTACCTGCTCAGTCGGTATAATGCTCCCTGCATGTATATGATCTCAGGGTTGACAACTTGGCACTAGATAACTAACTGGGGTGCTTTTTCCTAGGAAAGACCATTTCTCTCCCTCTCAGAACTCCCCAGTTGACCACAGTCCTTTGTCTAGGGTTGAAGCTTTGCAAGCTTTCCCTCTTCCATGCTAGCATGTCCAATGATGTTATACTTGTCCAAGTCTTGGTTAGGCAGCCGTGTTGATAATAATTCATGGATGCAGTCTCTCTGACATTTCTAGGAGACACAATCTCACAGCACACTTCCTGTGCCTCGATGTGCATAATTTGATATTTAAAAGATGTTTATTGGGCCGGGAATGTAGCTCAGTGGTAGAATGCTCACCTGGAATACACAAGGCCCTAAGATTAGATTCCCGGCATAGAAAAAAGGAAGAAACAAATGATGTTTTTGCTGATGACTCAGGTCAGACTAGACTGAATCTTTCAATTTACTTTGTTTCTTCTCTCATTCTTTCTTTGCTTTCCATTTAATTATTCAGTGGTGTGTACATGCATGTGGAGTATCTGGTTCTTTGTGGAGGAGTTGGTTCTCTTGGGGGAGTTGGTTCTCTCCTTGTATTGTGTGGGACCCAGGGACTGAACTCAGGTTGTCAGGGTTGGCAGCAAGCCCTTTTACCTGATGAGTCCTCCAGCTAGCTGGAATCTCTGTTTACTTTCTAACTGTGTGTGGGGGAAGTTTCCTGACATTACTGTTCATTATTGCACTCAGCTTTCTTCCCTGCACAGAGATTGAATTTAGGGCCTTGCATAAGCAGGGCAAACATCTGTCATTCAGCTTATGCCGGTCTTTGAGGTTTTATCTGATTGTGCCTGCACCTGGCCGTATTGAGCTCTGTGGGGCAACGGCCTTGGCCCTTGCCAAAGGGCCACCTGCAGGTGTTTGGACCGTTGAAGCTCAGTTTCCTGTCTCTTTCGAATGTGCTGCACTTGGCTCTGAACTCTGCCTTGTATGGTCCTCTCCCAGCTCACAAACTTCTGAGTGTACTAGTTTGCTGATACTGTGCCTGTTCCTGGCTTGCGGCCATCGCCAACCCTGAGAACATGCACAGCTGGATCTGTATGCAAAGCATGGTGGCCCTGTGCTTGCCAGCATGTCTTGGGATGTCAGTGAGGTCCCATCTTTGGCCAGGCAGGCAGGGTCAGGAGCTTCAGAGAGGGGTGGACATCATCTAAGGACCTTTGGCTCTTGAAGAGCCATGCTTCCTTCTCTCTCTCTCTCTCTCTCTCTCTCTCTCTCTCTCAGGCAGGGTTGGCTATCCTGGAACTCACTACTCACTATGTAGATCAGGTTAGCCTTGAACTCACAGAGATCCACTTGCCTCTGCCTCCTGAGTGCTGGACTTAAAGGTGTGTGTCACCAAGTCTGGCCTACACTTGTGTGTTTTGAAAAAGGTTTTGCGAAATATTATGTGTCAGACTATCTGAAATCCTTCTTCCATGTTCATCTTTGGGCCTTGACTTGAGCCCCTGGGCTATTTGGAATGATGCCAATGGAAGGCTGTCTCAGGGTCAGGTAGGACATCCCCTGGACATCATTGCAATATGGTTGGGTTTTGTGCTGTATATACACACTGTGGAACCATCCAGGGATTTTAAGCAGGGCACTGGTCTAATTAGGCCTGCTTCTCAGGAACCATTTAGAGGTTCAGGGCACAAAGCCTCTTAGATGGGGCCTTCAAACCCTGCTATATGGGAAACATTGTTGACATGTTATCTATCTCCTTGTTATGGTTCCCAGGAGATGGACTGGTGGATTTTGACAAATGAGTACTGTTGACAGCTTTTTGGGGAAGGCATGTACCCCTGGTAACTAAGCCTAGAGCCCCACATGCTTACTGCCAATGTAACTAACTGAGATGTTGGCTAGGGGGATGGTTTTATTTTGTTTCTCACTAAGTGACTGGATGAAAGAAAACTGGCTCAGAGAATGGAGAAGCCGTGGACAAGGGTGAGGGGTGGTGCTTTGGGGAAGTGTTAATTCAAAATGAAAACACTGCAGTCTCTCCTCATGAAGATCTGTTGTGTGGTGTTTGTCATCTTGGCACTTGGCTTAAGCATCGCTGAGACTGGCTTCTGCAGAGTTACCAGCTTGTTGGAAACAGGTTCAGATAAGCCCTGCCCGTACACACTGGGCCTTGACTGTTTGAAACAGTTCCTGTCTATGGGATTTCCTACACCTAATGTGTTTGTGATGGTCAAACTGGCGTCAAATTGGGGGAGCAGGAGGAACAGGACCATTGATGGAGGAAGTTGTGACCTGAAGGGAAATAGATGGCTCTGGGGAAGAAGCAGGGAGGGACTTTAAATGTAGGAGGCAGCCAGGAAGCAAGCTGGTGAGGCCCAATGTCTGTGGGAGATAGAAAGGGGGTCCAGAGGAAGGGTCGTGAGTGAAGCCCAAGGAAGGCATTCTGCCGGAACTCCCTGCTCTAGGAAACGGCTGATACACGTATCTGAACACTTGGTGTTGGGTTTGCGGTTGATTTTGATGCATGTTGTTTTATCCTCTGCACACACACAGCCATCTGTGTTAGTGGTTTTCTGGAAGGAATGATGACTGGCAGTTGGTACACAGTGGGGTGATCATGGCTGTCAGAAGGGGAGGAAAGTCACCCCTAGAATCTAGAAGCTGCTGTGCTAGAGAAACGGGCTCTGGCGGTCATTTATTATAATTAACTTGGCTCCAGGTCTTCAGAGATTCTGAAGAGTGGGGTCTGGATTTCCTGGAAATGGGATGGGAGTTCCCCAAAGGCTGGCATTCAATTAGGGACATGCCATGTGGAGACAGGTAGATTTTACTGAGTTGTCATAGTGACTCCATTGTGTCAGAGGACTTGTAGGTCTAATGAAGTCTCAGCAAGCTCACAGAGACCAAGACCAACCAATGAACCCAACCTTTTTTGGAGACAACTGAAGACGGGGCTATAGGAAGAGAAGGTAGAGTGGGAAGTGCTTTGAAGCTGAGATGTCCCCAGAGGCTCATGTTTTGAGTATTTATTCCTCAGCTGGCACTGGGACCTGGCTGGGGAAGTGGTTCAGTAGGAGCACACCTTTGATTTGTTTGTTTGGTTTTTTGTTTTTCGAGACAGGGTTTCTCTGTGGCTTTGGAGGCTGTCCTGGAACTAGCTCTTGTAGACCAGGCTGGTCTCGAACTCACTCACAGAGATCCTCCTACCTCTGCCTCCTGAATGCTGGGATTAAAGGCGTGCGCCACCAATGCCTGGCAGGAGCACACCTTTGAAAGTTGTACCTGGCCCTTGGTTCTTGCCCTACACTCTGTTCCTTGGTTCACCATGATGTGAACAGTCACAAACTCCAGCTGCTTTGAACTGAGATCTGTGCTATGCCTTCCTCACCACAATGGACCAAATAAACTCTCTAAAACCATGAGCCAAAACAAATCTTTTCTAAGTCATAAAAAAAAAAAGATTGCATAGCTGGGTGGTGGTGGCATATTCCTTTAATCCCAGCACTCAGGATGCAGAGTCAGGTATATCTCTGAGTTCAAGGATAGCCTGGTTTGTAGAGCTAGTTCCAGGACAGCCAGGGATACACAGAGCAACCCTGTCTCTGGCAAAAGGAAAACAACAAAAAGGAATTTACATATATATGTACATTTTAACTTTTGCCCTTTTTTTTTTCTCCCTGAGACAGCCCTGGTTGTCCTGAAACTCTCTTTGTAGACCAGACTGGCCTTGAACTCAAAGAGACCCACCTGCCTCTGCCTCCTGAGTGCTGGAATCAAAGGCGTGTGCCACCGCCGCCACTACCGCCAGGCTTATTTATTTTCAATGGTTTGTCATGTATTTGTGTGGGGATTATGTGCGTGTGAATGCAGGTACCCAAAGAGGTCAGAGGTAACAGATTCCCTTGGAGCTGGAGTAACAGGTGGTTGAGAGCCACCTGACATGGATACTGGGAACTGAACTCTGGTCCTCTGGAAGAACAGTAAGTCCTCCTAATCACTGAGCTGTCTCTCCAGCTTGAAGCTTCCTTTCCTGTGTTGTTTCTGCCAGGTACTGAGGTTGCAGTGGTGTGAAAGTAACCAATACAAAAATGATTCCGAGCCACAGAGAAATTCTGTCTCGAAAAACAAACAAACAAAAAGATTCCAAGCTCCCGAAGAACCCCGCAGTCATGGGAATGTGTGCCTCCATCTTCAGGGATGGACCTCAGTTCTTGCTGCCCAGTGTGGTCCCCAGAGAGCTGCTCAGGCTTGCTTCATCTGAGCTCAT